AAGACACTATATAAAAAGGAGACAGGACGCAAACACCTGCTTGAACAGTAAAATTAACTTTGGAACTGAGAGTGGCATTGTCAGAGAGAGTGCTGGGATGGTTACCATAGGTAGCATTATAGGAAGGGAATTGCAGAGAAACCAGCCAGAGCGAATGGGATGTTGTCCTTCAGTGGAGTGGGGTTCTCTATGGAGCACCGTAGGCACGGAGGGGGGATGGGGACCAAAGAAGGAGAGACTACCTTTTGTCCAGTTTATGTCAGCGGTCGTCATTATAGTAAGGGGAATGCAAGGGGGAAAGGTGATATTCTGTGTGGTTGCGGTAAGATGTAGTGATGACAAATAAATAGTAGAGGGGCTGGTAAAGTTACTAGCGGAGGTCAAGGGTGTAGAAGGGAGTCCAGTGGTGGAATTGGTAGACAAGAATGATGGGAGAATACCCCCCTTTCTGGAAACCAGCAGAAGGAAAGGAGGATTATTAACTATCGTCCAGTGAATCGTGTTGCAAAGGAGGGGGGGTGCTTGCAGTTGGAGATGGAAGAGTAGTAGCAGGTGGAGGATCATCTTCAGAAGGTCAGCCAAAGAGGGATCCAACGAGGCTGAGGTTGACCTGGAGGAAAGATCCTCACGGGATGTTTGAGAAGGGCTTGAGGAGATGAATTTTGAAAGAGCACAAGCCCCCAGAAGTAGAGTGGGAAGGGAGGGATACAGGTGAAATCGTATCATCCTAGAGTTTTCTTAGTTGAGCATTTTGGGGGATTTTTGTATGTGTGTTTGTTTTTTAAATTGCTGATTCAATCTCCTTACTAAAAATCTATCTGTTCAGATTTTCTATTTCTTTGAATCAGACTTGGAAGAGTACATATTTCTAGGAATTAATCTATTTCTTCTAGATAGCCAAATGTGTTAGTGTATATTTGCTCATAATAGAATATTATGATCCTTTATATTTCTGTGGTATCAGGTATAATGTCTACTTTTTCATGACCAATTTCATTTGAGCATCTCTATTTTTCTTGGTTAATCTAGCTAAAGTTTTCACTATTTTGTTTTTTTTTTTTAACTTAGTTTTGCTGTATTTTTATGGTCTTTTTAGTCTCTATTTCATTTGCTTTCATTCTCATTGCCATATATTATTTCCTTCTACTAAGTTTTAGCTTAATTTGTTCTCATCATCTGTGTATAATTTCTTCAAAGTCATGTGAAATTTAAAGGCAATTTCTTTCTCATAAGGAAGATACTTAGATATTAAATGCTGAGTTATTTAGATATTAAATGTATTAAGTTTGTACAGTAGAGTAAATGTCCATGGTATTTTGAAGGAAAGAATGGAAGGAGAGGAAATGAGGAAGGCGAGGAAGGAAAAGAAGGTGACAGGAAAAAGAAAAGGAAAGAAAGGGAGGGATACCGCCAATTTTTGGTTGACGGTGGTGGTCTATCATAGGGAGGTGGATCGTCTGTATTGTCCTCCACATCCCCCTCGTCGGAGGAAGAGTCCTCCATCAGCTTTGTGGAATGGGAATGGGACACGGAAACGGCCGCGGCCTCCGTGGCTGCGCATGCTGCGGGTGGAGTTTCACTTTCGGATTGGGCCACGGAGCGTAGGGCCTCAGCCGCCAGTTCGCAAGCAGCCTGTCCCCCTTCACTGAGGGTATTGTGAATTAACTGCCACACCAAAAGGATACGGGGGGCGGGGGACTGTTTGGGCTCCGTAGAGATCCCTGTGAAGAAGAAGATCTGCCTTGACCTTTTCCCAATTTTGTACAGAAACCGTGTCCTGCTGAAGGAACCATTTGCTGGTATTTGCGAGGACTGTGACTAGATTATGAAGGGTCTAAATTTACAGGAGTTACATAATTTTTAGGGAGAAGTTGTAGGGCTCTAACAAGTTGGCCCTTGGACATGGTATTGCCCATGATGCCAATCACTTACCAAATCCTTACCTTACTGATTGATCGGTCCCTCAGAGGATCCCTCGCACTCATGTCCCACGCTGGGAGCCACTTGTCCGTTCGTCCCACAGGCTGACGGGGTTTGGGAACACAGCGGAGGGCCTGGGGATGAAAGATGCATACACTCACTTGGCTGGAAGCAGGAACTCTCTTTATTACCGAGGGGCGGGGATAGATAAAGGAAAGTCTGCACATGCGCTTTACGTGGCCTGCACATGAGCTTTACGTGGATCTTATAACATCCGGTTATTATTGCATCAGCTTTTGCTGAATCATGCTTGAGTGGAAGCAACCACTACCCCAGGTCCCTCTGCTGGTAAGCCCTCTACTAACAATGGCTCAGTAGACCTCTCCTGTCTCCCTGCTGCTCCCCTTAAAGTGTATTTCAGTCAGTCTGCCTGTTCTGTTCCCTGCTCTGTCTCTGGTGGATCCTCTCACCCCTACACCTCTGGCCTGTACCCCAGTTCTTGTGTGCATAAATAAATCTAAAAAGAAAAAAGAAAACTGCACAATTTTTGCAAAAGGCAATAAAAATACCCCTTTAGATATTACTACATTTATTGTGAAATGAACAATTTCTACTTTGTTCTCAAATCTAGAAATTTTAAAACCTATGGATGTATTTATTTATTTATTTATGTATTTATGCAAACACTGGATACAGTCAGAAGCATGGGAGGGTGATAGAATTCCCCAGTGCCAGAGCAGGGAACAGAACAGGCAGACAGACGGAGGACACTACTGAGGGCAGCAGCAGACGTGGCAGGAGAGGTCTGCACTCTGTGTGGGACCCTCGCCGGGGCCGGGGATCAAACCAGCGCTGCAGAGGCTGTGGGCAGCTGCGCAGCCCAGCGCTCAACCGCTGCGCCACCGGGGAAGCCCTAAAACCTATGGATTTTTAAAAATTGCAATGTTTTCATCGCTGAGGTAATATCGCTTGACAGGGTGAACATGGCCTAGGGGGTAGCCCCCCAGCTGCGGCGTCTCCACACCCATTACCCCAGCACCACAGACCTCACCTGGCCTCATCTACTGCCCTGTCCCCTGCACCTGTGGTCCTGCCCGGCACGTCGGTGACTGGTTCAGCTCCGGTTTGGCTCTGGGCCGCCCCGGAGGGCCTCTGGGTCTCTTTCAACTCTGGCTTCCATGACAGCACCATCCCCTTAACCCAAGTGACTTTCCCAGACACACGCCAGCACAACCCCCACAGCCTGTGGAGGAAAGTTGTCTTTTAAATTTTGCTTCCTGCTAAGCCAGCGAGTGGCGTGCACAGAGGACATGTCAGATCCCAGCTGTGCGGCCATGATGCCGGCTCTGAGGCCTCAGAAAACTCAGGGCAGTCAAGAGTCTGACTCCAGGGCAGGGGCCTGAGGAGCTTTGACCTTCCTGCTGGTCCTCCGGGTGCTCTCCGTCCTCGATCCCGACCCAGGCTCATCCCTGGGGAGGAGGGCTGTGCTCTCTCCTCGCTCACCTGCTTAATTGGCCTCAACCTAAAATAACCATCACTGAGCAGTTAGGGCACTGAGTGTATCAGAGGTGATTTCCTTAGTTATTACCCAGGGAAGACTGGACCTGGTTCCCCCTCAGGCCCCATCCCCTCCCCTGACCAATGTGGGGACTTGGTGTGGCCCTGTGGTCAGAGCCACAGATGAGCCACATCCACAGGGAGCTGGAAAGTCACTGTCACCCACTGTGCACCCTTCATGGGGGAGGTCGGAGGTGGGGGAGGGTGATAGGGCAGTGGTGGAGGCAGGAGAGGGAGCGAAGGAGGAAAACCAGGGAGAAATTCCCCAAGAGCCAAAAGGGGAAGCACCTGAATCTTCTAACATGAGAATTTGTTCATGTCTCTCAGAATTTGTTTATTTAAAAATGCCATTTATTTTCAGCACCTATAAATCTGTCACTACATTTGAACTGTTGTGTTTGTGACAGAGGTTTGTGTTTATCTCCCAATGTGGGTCAGTCCTGAGACGGCGCTGTCAACGTATCCACGGGGTGGTCTGTGTCTCAGACTCTGACACAGCAAATTGGGGATCCCTCTCCCGAGTGTGGCTCTCCCCATGCTCACAGACTTTCCAGCTCCCTGTGAGCGCTCACAGACAACAGGGGGTATTGGTGAAAGAGACACAGTACAGTCCCAGGGCCCACCTACGGTCCTGCCAGTCTCTGCAGCATCTGCCAGGCCATGCCAACTGCCCAGCAATATGGCTCTGCCATGAGGGAAGCAGAGCCAGAGCCCTGGGGTGGGCATGGTTGGGGGGGCGCATCCCAGCTTGAGGGTGCTCTGGGGTGCTGCTCCCTAGGCTCTGCCACAGCCCCTGCCCTTGGACCCTCTGACAGCCTCACCACCCTCTTCTGGGCCCGCCATCCTGAGGCCACACACCAACATCGGTTTCCCGACTGGGCATGTACCCACACCCATGGGGGCCCTGGGTCGGCCTGGGCCCCGATCCGACCAGCCCAGGATACAGCGTCCACCCCAGCCCTGTGTCCATTGTGGTGAATGGGCAGCACTGCTGTATGTGCGAGGCTGAGAGTGGACCCACCTGACCCATGTCCCAGACCTCCCTGAGCCTTTCTCTCTTGTTCCCTAAAACCCCAACCAGCTGTGCCAGAGTACCCAGGTCACAGCTCCTGTGGGGCAATGGGCCGGGCTGCTCAGCCATGGAGGAAGCCAGAGCCCAGGCCATGGTCACTGATCCAGGTCTGATGATGACCCCCTGGGATTTGGGCAAAGGATAGTTAGTGCTTGACTCGGGCAGGCTACCCAGGACACCAGCCCCCAACCTTGTCTGGACCGGGCTGCCTATGGGAGGGGCAGTTCCCCCTGTAGAACCCTGATTTTATGGGGTAATAAGCTGCCCCACTGCACATAGGTGACAGGTAGATTGAGACAAGGAGACACCCTCACACTCCAGGACAACAGCTTTGTCATAGGGGCCCAGAGGCAGTAGAAGGTGTGGAGAAAGGCCACTGTTGTACTGCTAGTGGACAAGGACAGTGAAAATTTACATAGAGCACCCCACATTTCCTTAAAAAATGCAGGACAGATTCCAGCAGCAGGTCACACGCGGGCACGGGCAGAGCAGGACTCTCCCACGGCTCTGCAATCATCACGGCGGCGTCATCCACAGCAGCCCCACTCGCCCCACTGGACAAGGACCAGATGGTGGCGCATCCACACCTGGGCAGGCACCGACAGGGAGAGGTCAGAGTCCTGTGAAAGGAGAGGGTTTGAGAAATACATGCAACAAAGCAGGTCATACATGGACACACACAGGGGGGGGAGTTGCAGAGAACAGGCATTTGAGCAGGAAACACTGTAATAGTCTTGGGGAACAACTTCCTGAGGGCTCTAAGAAGGCAGGGGAAGACGTGGGGGACAAAGAGGGACTGGTGTCCCTGTGACATAACTACATGTGTCTGGCTGGAGGACATGGGTGTGCACTTGTAGACAGTCACTGTGACTGAGGAAAAGAAGGTCGAGCTTTTCTTGCTGGTGAAATGGCCCTTCATCAGTCTCCCCACAGCCGACTTCATGGCTTGGTTCCTCACAATGTGTATGACAGGATTAAAGGTTGGGGGCACCATCGTGTAGAACATAGAAATGACCAGGTCAGACATGGTCATGTTCTCTGAGGTTGGCTTTAAATAAGCAAAGAATCCAGTACAGAGAAACAGCACCACAACCAGCAGGTGGGGAAGGCAGGTGGAGTAGACTTTGGCCTTACCTTCTGTGGATGGGATCTTCCTGACAGCAGAGAAGATGTGGACATAGGAAATGACTATGAAAATGAAACAGCAGATACTCCAGACCACACTAATGAGAATGGGGACAAGTTTGTTCATCAAATTTCCTGAGCAGGAAATAGCCAGTAACTGTGGGACGTCACAGAAACTGATGGACCACGTTGGACCCACAGAAGGACAAGGAGAACGTTCCAGCTGTGTGCATCACAGCATAGAGACCCCCACCCAGGCAGGAAACAGCTGTCAGCTGCACACACCTGTCCCTGCTCATGATGGTATCATAGTGCAGGGCGTGGCAGATGGCAGCATAGCGGTCAAGGCTCATCACAGTGAGGAGGCTCATCTTTGCACCTGCTGAAAGAATCAGCATAAAGACCTGGAGGACACAGTCCGGGAAGGAGATGGAGCTGCTGTGCCTCAGAGAGTTGGCAATGGACTTGGGGACTATTTCTGAGATGAGGCAGAGGTCCGTGAATGACAGATTCCTCAGGAAGAAGTACATGGGGGTGTGAAGGTGCCGGTCCAGGGTGGTGATGAGGATGATGAGCCTGTTCCCCAGCAGGGTGCACAGGTAGACCAGGGAGAAGAGCAGCGGGTGCAAGAAGCCCATGGTCCTCTGGGTGGGGAACCCCAGGAGGACGAATTCCATCACGGCTGTGAGATTGGTCACCACTGGAGTAATAATTGGTCACCACTGTGTAATAATATTGAGCAGAATAATATGAGAGTGAAGCCTTCTAGTCTGAGTCTAGATGACACCTACAAGGACAGGTCACTCTCAGGTCACTCTTAGGGTGTGGAGTGGAGGAGCCTCGTGTCTCTCGCTTTCTGTTGGACCTTTTGCTTTCAGCTTCAGAAACACGCCTTTATAGCATAGGATCAGGGATTGGGAATGAGGGACATTTTAGCTGATCGTAGGATTCTGCTCTGGTTTATCTCATAGCCCCACTAGCAGCCCCTCCCCAACGCCCCAGCCCTGCTCTCCCGCCTCCTGCCCAGGCCCCAGCATCTCAGGCCAGCACACCTCCCAGAGGTTGTCCAGGACACAGTCCCTGTGAACACGTGACAATGCCCAGCCCCCCCTCCCACCCTAGAGATCCTGTCCCTGCTCCTCCAGCACAGCCCTGGTCTGTGGAGGCCCCACAGTGATGGGTGTGCAGGGAGATGGGGTGTGTGGGTCCCTGTTTTCCTACTCCCCAGGACCGGACACTGTCCTGGAACTGAATGATCTGGGCTTAGTGTCCCCGTGTGGCATGTCCTGACACCTCCTCTGTCAGATTCCTGCCCCTGTGGCCTCACTGCTGACTCTTGGTCCATCTCTTCGTATCCCTGCACCTGATCCCCACATCTGAGGACTCAGAGACCACGTTTCCTGCAGAGTCTCCTCCTGGGTCACACCCACACGTCACTCCTGCAGAATGGGCTTGTCCACCCCCAGGTCCCTCCCCAGCCCCTCTGTCCCCCTCAGACTCATGCACATCTGTGCAGGGAGGAGGCTACTCCAGGGCTGAACCAGATGGTCTGTGCATGTGGCTGTCCCTGCTGGTCACAGGGACCCGGGTCCCCCAGGTGCAGGTTTGTTCCTCACCCCAGGCCCATGCGTGAGTGGGGACGTCTGGACATGGGGCAGCCCTGCCCACTCTCCCCCCACAATCTCATCCTCTCTACCCTCTGTGGGGTGACAGAGGGGCAGGCCCTGGGGAGGCAGGATTTTTAGGAGAATGTGCTGATATGAAGTAAGTATAAGAGGTTAGAACAATAATTCAGCTATTATAATGAAAACAGGAAAATAGGACAAAATAAACTCTGAACCTAGTTTTGCGTATGTAAAAACTTTTCCAGTGATTTAGATACATATTTATATGGACAAAATTAGGCTTCACGTAGCTCTTTTGCTGTTGGAATTAAAATACAAGATTAGGTCCAAAATAGATATCACATGTGTATATGAACATAGATCATGGGAAAGGACATGGATTTCTGTCCGATTTACTTCATTGTTATAATAATTTGTGATGAATATGTGTAGCTTTCCTTTCTGATCTATTGTACTATTTAAATTTCTCTTGAGTTTCATCTTCACTGCCTACTAAAGGTGTACATGAAGTGAGATTTCATTTCACATTTATATAGTTTCAACTCAGTTTGCAAATGCTGAAATACTATGGTTTTTATACTATAGTTACTGTAGATACCATAAATCAAAATGTTATAAAATTACTGTAGATACCATAAATCAAAATGTTATAAAATGATAAATGCAGTGAAGATCACAATATGTGGAACACCGTAGAGTAAAAAATGTATTTTCTCTGTTAGAAACTCATCCCAGAACAACAGGGCATTCTGAAACTGAACTATTTGTCTGAGTTTATAATTTATTTGTTTTCATTTATAAGATGAATATTTTAACTACATTTTGAAACAATACTGTGTGGTAAAAAAATGTTACCTTAAGAAAGAAAATAAAGTCACTATTTGAAGCAAACAATAACATAAGTATTTCATGTTGAATACTAACACTTTGACGTATGGGGTTAAATGAAATATGTCAGTAATTAAAAAATTGAAAACCTTACTTTTTAAAAAAATTTTGACAGACACGTCCAGTCTGGATTGATGTGCCCACTGACCCAGAAGTTGCTTCCCACAAAACTCTCACCCTCGCAGAGACAGGAGGAAACGCAAACCTCTCTTGAAGGCCTGGTCACCTGCTGCCCTCTGCTGTGCTGGCCTCTGACATCCGGGGTCCAAGCCTCTGGCTCACTAACTCCGCAGACGGGTTGTAGGGCTCACTGTCTCATTCCCCACTGTCCCCTCTCTCAGGGACCTCACACCAAGGGCCCGCGGTGTTCCTTGTCCCTGTGGACGTCTCCACTGAGTCCCCAGTAATGAGCCTCCCGAGTCAATGGCACTGTCAGGGGTCCAAGGACACTCCACAAGAAGGACCTGGTCCCCCTCAGAATCATCACCTCCCCTGATTGCCGTGGGGACCCGGGTGTGGTCCTGTCATCAGAGCCATGAATGAGGCCCGTCCACAGGGAGCTGGAAAGTCACTGTCACCTGCTGTGCGCCCTCCTGGGGGCCTGGGAGGTGGATGGGGGACAGGAAGTTAGAAGGGAAAATGAAGGTAGGAAGGAACTAAGGAGACAGGCATGAGGAGGGCGGGAGACAAGGGCAGGCAAGGAAGAAAAGTGAATCTGATTTAAATGAAGAGGGAAAGAAAACTGGGTCTTGTGAACTGCAGCCAACCCTCTGCGCATCACAAGCGGGGACCTGAGGACAGCGCCACCCCCGCACCCTGCACTGCCTCTCTCTGGCCCCTGCCAGCTGTGGTCTCCAGCACAAGCCATGTTCCCCGCCCGTCCCCCAATGGATAGGTTCTTTGGCACCTGACACTTACTCAAAATTGACCAGGCATCACCCATGGGTGATTTTAAGAGGCTCACTATCCTCTTCAGCATCCCCTTTGGCTGCTTCTCAACCGCTCAGGACTTCCTGACCTTGGCACCAGTGGTTGGCCTCTCCAAGTTGGATTCCTGATGCATCTCCTGCCTGGCTGCAGAGACCTGGCGAGGGTGCCAAGCTCTGCCAGCCCTGGGGTGCTGTCACGCTGGCCCTGCCCCCACTCTCAGCCATCCCAAGGGCGCACTGCCACGCCAGGCTGAGCACATGGCAGTTCCTGCAATAGGCTGCAATAGGCCAGCAAGGCCCAGTGGCCATCCTTGGATCTTCATGTCCTGGGGTATGCAGATGACCCTGTCCCCCCCAGGCCCCATAATTATAGCCTCCCACCTGTCCAAGCCCCTGCCTCAGTAGGATTGTCTGTTGGGGTCATCAGTGTGATCTTTGTCATTGGGGAGCTCCAAATGATGGGTGGGGGCCTCGCTTTCCCTGTCAAGTCTGCAGCCTCAGGGGTGGGGGGTAGGTGCTAGTCGGGCTGTCTCCTCCTCCCCTCAAGGCCCCAGGTGTTCCACAGCAGCTTGCTCTGCATCTCCCGGGCCTCGTCCACCTCCTGCGCTTGGTCGCTCTTCCTGGACGTTGGCCACCAGCTGTGCTCCCCCAGAGACTCCAATGATGTCTTTGACTCCATTGACAGAGGCCACTCGCTCTGTCTTCTCTCTGTTTGCATAAATTCCTGCCACCTGCACCACTTGTTTTCCACGCCTTCAGCTCGAGGAGGTGCATCCTCGCTTCTCACAGACAAAAGGGAATTTTGTGGCCTTTAGATTTCTCAGGTCTTTAGTGCTGACTGACAGGACTGAGCAGCTCTCGCCCTCAGCATTTCTCTGGCCATCTCCCCTCCCCCTGGATTTAGAGGCACCACACCTTCCACCCCCTCACCCGAGGGCACTGGTGTCCTCAGTACATGCGCATGCCCTGTGCACTCTGGCCCAGGTGCCTACCATCACAGGCACATGTGCAAGACCACAGGGGCGAGCCACAGAGGCTGATGGCAGGAATGCTGGAAAAAAGCCTGATTTTTAACTCAACTACCCTGGAGGCCCAAACTTTATTCACATATAAAAGGTGCAGAAGCATAAGAAGAAAATCATAGTAGGATTCAATCTGCCCCCCTCAGCCAAAGTGTCCCTCCAGCTTCAGGTTGAGGATAAGTTCTTAAATGTTTGTTTTTAGTGAGAACGGGTACTTTTAATTTTAGATAGAAGAAAACCAAAGAGAACATATAGGAACTTTGTGAATAGTGTTATGTGAGATGGAGAATTATTACACAGGAACGTTTATTTATAAAACTTCATAATATTGTTTGGTATTTTAAAGGGGAACAAGTATGTCAGACACAGAATTAGCACTGGAGACCTGGTTGGAAGAGGAGGTGACCCAGGGTGGGGGAGCCTCATCTCCCTGGGGCCAGGCCTTCGGGCACCCTGGACACTCCCCGAGGATGCCCACCCCAGCTCCCCTGAATGAGCTCGGCGCTGATTCTGGGTGGCGTTTGGCAAGTAGAAAAGGGGGGGTGAGGTTGCTCCCCACTTAGTCTAGAATCAGGAGTGAGGACAGTAACTGGATGACGAGGGCCCCCACTGCTTGGGTGAACCCGAACCCGCCCCTGCTCTCTGCTCATGCCCCCGAGCCCCCCAGCCCCTCCCCGGCTGGTAGCTTCCCTGTCCGGGGCCCGGAAAACTCCTGTCCCGGGGCGTGGGGCCCTGTCGTGGCCCCCAGGGCGGCCTGAAATGAAATGCTGTTGCGACATTTTAGCTCAACTGGAGGGATACTTTTGAGCGTTCCTCGTCCACAAACCTGTGCTCTCAGCAGAACAAGAGTTTAATGAAAATGATGTAAATGAGGAGAAACTGTGACTTATGAGATGTTTCCTGACAA